GCAGTATTCACCAACAGTCAATCGGCCATAATGGCACTGAGTTCATATGTCATTTAGTTCTAAGATAGTACGGGATTGCCTAGGGAAACTAAATGAGGTAGAAAAGAAAAATAAAGTCACTTTACTATGGGTGCCTGGACACACAGGAGTGGAAGGTAACGAAGAAGCCAATACCTTGGCAAAGAAAGGATCCGGTTCCCCGTTTGTAGGACCGGAGCTTAAGAAAATGGAAGACGACTTAAGAGCTCGCCTCTGGGACGACCTTCCGGGACTGAGACACTCTTAAGATATTCCTTGGAAACTTCAATCCCAAAAAATCTAAAACTAGTAAATTTAAGTAAAACTAAACTAAGAATTCTTACAGGGTTTATGACAGCAGGGCACTGCCACCTTCGAGAACACCGCAGGAAAATGCTACTCGAGAGATCCAATGAATGCAGGTTTTGCGGGGAGGAGGAAGAAACTCCAGAACACCTACTAACCGTATGCGAAGCCGTCGCTAGAAGCCGGGCTACACATCTCGGTGACTATGTAGTTTTAGAAGGAGACATACCATCCTTGACACCGTATCAGTTACTAGCCTTCATCAAGGCCATAGGACTGGACGAAATACTATGATTTGAGATCCACACCAAATCGGCCTCAGCAGGGGGTACAATAGATCTTTAGGTCGCAGTGCAACAACACCCCAATATTAATCTAATCTAATCTAAGTACAAATAAGTGGATTGTTGCGGAACTTATGGGTGGACCTCTGCGGGACGAGCGCAGCGAGTTCCGCAGCCATTTAATTATCAATATACTGTTGAACTGTTGAACTGTTGAAGTAAGACATTAAATTGAAACGTTTAATTTTTAAACTAATGAGAATAACGCACATTTGAGTAAGACAGTTTGGTATCGTAATTAAACAACATATTGATGAATAGATGGCTGCGGAACTCGCTGCGCTCGTCCCGCAGAGGTCCACCCATAAGTTCTGCAATAATCCACTCGTTTGTACCTGAATAACTTGTCACAATATATTACTACTTTGGTGAAGTAACATTACTAATTCTTGTTGAAAGGCAAATTGACAAAAAGTGGATAATCTTACAAATTCTGACTTTATATAATAAGTTATTGTTCAAGTACCAACAGGGTGTTTTTTTTATATATTGACACCCTACAGCCTTCACCTTTACAAGTAGATGAAAGGTGTAAATACAAAAGTTATACAGTTTTGACCTTTTTTCAAATGGGATGCCCTATATTTGGTTCTATATTCTTGAAGAGCATAATTTGCCGATTCCAAAACTATATAGTTTGTCTTCATTTAGTTGAGCCATCTCCAACATATTTGGTTTTAAAAATACTATCAGAGAAACCAAGTACCTCAAATTTTACCTGCAGTTTTCATCTGTATAGGTAGAATGATTCTCAAAATCAGTAGTAGTAGGATAGTATTTTTACAATTTTTAAAGCCGAATATATGAGAGACTGTTCAATCAAATATAGACAAACTATATATTTTTGGAATCGAGGCATTATTGGGCTCTTCAAGAATATAGATTGAAATATAGGACATCCATTTGAAAAAAGCTGGAACCATGCAAAATTTCACATTTCTGATATTCAAATTTTGCTTCTGACTATGGTTTCTAAAAATTCAGCCAAAACTGTACAACTTTTGTATTTACACCTTTCTTTTACCTGTGAGGTGAAGGCTGTAGGTGGGGTGTCAATATATAAAAAAACACCCTGTACCTACCTATTTAAAATCACCTCATTCTCCTAAATAGTTCCCCCATTCCCATATTTTTATGGGCCATTCCTTCACTCACCCCCCCCCCCCCCCCCTTTCAAAAGGCCTGTTCCCGAACCTAGGAACTTCTTATCCTATTCACGATGTCCACAGGTACAGGTAAATTTATCATTTTTTAATGCTATTTGATAGGGAAAGGTGATAAATTTACCTGTACCTGTGGACATTGGATTTTGAATATAGGATATATAGATATTGCAGATCAAAAGTGTAAATGGAAAACTTGTATGCTTCAAAGTTCTTACTCAAAGTAACTATTTAACACAATTTAAGGGAAATTCAATTAATCACGCTTATATAACAAGAATAACTGCCAATTTGCCAATAAATCACTTCAAATTGATTGCGGTAATCATTACGATTTAGAGTCATTTTCGTTATATGAATTCAATTTTAATTAGTTTCAAACTATTTTACATAATTTTTAGTAGGTAAAATTATCCAAGCATAAACAAGTTATATTTGTCTAATACAAACCCATAATAGAAAATTATAACCGTTTAGGTACCTATACATAGTTAGGTTGTTCTAAAACGAGTTAAAACATTTTCAGTGCGTATATGCAAACACAACAAGGTCAAAAGTATAATTAAAAATGTATAATAGCCCCAGTTTAAGTTTATAATTAAAGAAGCAATTTTGTGGCTGGAAAATTGAAATTCAAAATGGCAGTTCAACAAACTCATGAATTTCTCTCAAAAATCAATCGATATACGTTAAATTCATAAATAAACGAATAAGAAACTAGACTTTTGTACCCAAATTCACCCAATAATTTGTAATATGGAATTATATAATTGCGTAATGTCGTTGAGAATGTGTGCCGTAAATTGCATATTACAAACATATGTGCCAATTACAATTTTAATTAACTTATTGCAAAGAAGAAAAAACATTCAAATAAGAGGTCGTTCACATTTTTTTCATAAAACTCACACTTAATTACTAACGACCAATTTTCTAAAAGTTAAAACGAACCTACAGTATACCTACATATTTACGTTGACGTTTTATTGTTAATTTACACAGAGCTTATTAGCAACATGTGCGTAGGTATTTCATAATTTACGATTTTGTTAAATTTGACATTTTCAAGTCCTTAGGAAAAAGGCTTTTATTACTTTCACTCTCATTTATTGTCTTATGTATGAAAATAATTACTATATTTAGTAAAAGTTATTGAACTATTATAAAATCCAATCGGCTTAGGTATAGTAATTTTCAAGCCGGAAATCTACTTTATTATTGAAGTGATTATAGACAAAGCTGGGATTAAATTTAAACCATCAATTAATTTGATGATTACAATTAAATCGTCACTTTCTCAACTACCAGAATTTTTAAAACTTAATATTTTTTACAGTTTTCAAAATCTACGTTTGTAGATTAAAAACATCATAAAGGTACATAAAAGGGTATTAAATAATTATTGAAATATTTTACGAAATTTTTATTTGTTTTAAAAGCCCATAGTTGAGGCAGGTGACGAGAAGCAAATACAAACTAAAAGACCAGAGAAAGTTTTAAATTCTGATGAACCGTGAAGATTATTACAACAAGCCCAAAGGCTGATTGTTTATTGAACTTGTTTTTTTCGCAAATTGAAAGGAAGAAAGTAAAACTTGAAGATTTTAATTGTCCAGAAATACTTAATTCACAACTTCCTATATAAAAATTGTAATGTGTGTTATCAAGTTTTAAAAATCTTGTTTGTAACAAATACAAACTTGTAATTTTACATTTTTTTTTTTCTGGTTTCAAAGTAGGTTTATTATTAGTTGTATGGGAATTAATATTGTTTCAAGACCTTGTAAAATCTAGTAGGTAGTTGCATTACAAGCAATTTCAAGAAAAATTAATTAATATTTTTCTATATTGCACTTCAATGCTCGTGTTTGGTAATTTAACAGACGATTTTCACTTTTTTATTGTTTTTATAATTGATTGGAAACTAATTTAAGTAATATTATAGGCTTCATTAAAAAGCTATTTTGTTTTTAATAGGAAATTGTAGTTATTTTTAGGCATCACCCTGTATGTTTTTGTGGTTTATTTTTGCAATAACATAGTAGTTTTCGGGTTTACTAGGTTCAAAAGTAATTATTATAGTTGATGAACTAAATGTAAATATTATTTTCTTGGGTATGCAAATAAATCTAGAAATAGAAATGAGGAAATAGTTTACGTAAACATCTAATAAGAATTAGCACTTTTTGTAAGATTGATTTGTAATCAGTTTTAGAACAAAAACTTCTTATAAACAAAAAGAATCCCGTCAAGTTGAGACTTTAGGGCTCAGTTTCCAATTCACATTTTACTAAAAGTAATAATTTTCTTCTACAACCTACAACCTGGAATTCTGTCAAGTATGACATCTTTAAACTTTGATTTTTATCAAAAGGAAATTTCAATTTTTTTTTTCTTTAATTTCAATCTTTTCTATCTACACTTAAAAAATTTCAATCCAATCTCTCAAATATTTTCTTCAAAAAAAAATAAAATGTCTTTTAATTTCGATTTTTTTCAAAATGACATCGACACACAATTTGCCTCAGTACATCGTTAATTTCAATCCGATCTTAAAGTTATTAGGCTCAAAATAAAGCCAATTGAATTCTCTTTAAATTCCTTGTGAATAGTTTGAATGCAGCTTCAAAATCTTTTGACTTCGAGTATTATAAAGATGAGGAGGCAGAAAGAAATTTTTATATTTTTTCTTGAATTTCAATCCTTTCTTAAAACATTCGCAAAATTTCAATCCAATCTTTCAAACATTTAAAAAAAAAAAAAGTCTCTCAATGTTGATTTTTGGAAATTTAACTTTTTCCAAAATGACATTGACACATATTTTATCTCACAACTTTGTTAATTTCGATCCGATCGTGACGTAATTACACTTATATTGAAGCCAATTAAATTATCTACAAATCTGTGGTAAATAGTTTCAAAACGGCTTCAATGCAAAGCTCAAGGTCTTTAGACATCTACAATTACATCCTCAAATTGAATAACTTCTCAAAAACAAAGATACTCGCAAAAATACTTCCTTCAAGGTAAAACTTATTTGGACTACAGTTTTCTATTAATTACAATTTTGATCTACAGCGCCTTCAGATGCCAGAAAAACCACAATTTTTTTCCAGAAAGTTGAGAAACTTTTGACATAAAAATTGTTCTACAATAAATCCTTATTCACCTGTTTATTATTTTGCTCATCAAACCGATTATCCTCATCATTTTCCTTATCTTTTTTACCACAGCAACAAAACAAACTTCCCATTATTAACCTCTTCACCTTCACTGGTCAAAAAGTACATAATCTAATCGCGAATTTTGCATTAAACAACAGATTCAATTAATATTTTTTTTTTTTTTCGAAACCTATTCTATTCGGACAAGGACAAAGCTCGAGTTACCACAACGTTCGCGCATCTTGCACATAAACTATAGAAAAAAAAAATCTATTTGCGTTTGACCAGTTACAAAATCAAATTCAAACTGAAAAATAATTTTTGTTTCTTCTCAATATTGAAACTTGGCATAAGTCCCATTAGCGAGTCAAACAAATTTTTATCTCGGACATTATTAATTTTATAAACCAATAATGAACGTCCAGGATCAGTTTCAACGATTACGTTAAATGAATAATTGATAACAATAATAATTGTTTTATTTTTAGTTGCTGATGCAAAATGTTTACAATACCTTAACAAACAGAATGTAAAAGAGCCTCATAATAATTGTAAAAACAATAAAAATCTATATAAAACAAGACTAAACAAAATTTGAAAAAAAGTTTATAAAAAATATTACACAAATTAAAAACCAATCACCTAGAAACAATATAAATTATAAAAACATACAAAGTGAAGTAAAAATATATATTTTTATTTGAACAAACATACCCAAAAGTCCTTGCACACTTCTTCCAAAATCCAACTAAAAATTTATTTTAGCACCCACAAAATTGTCTATAATTTTATTCACCAACAAGACAATCAATAATGAATCATTTAACGCATTTTGATTTCAAATATTACCGAGATAGTGTACAGTAAAAGGTGCTTTACCATACACCAATGTTGACAAACAAGCCAAACTAAAAACCTGACGAGACGTTCTCCTGTTATTCTTGTTCTCTCCCCCAGTTTCTAAAAGAAGAGTGGTGGTATCCAATCTCTCATAAAAGCGGCAAGCCTTTTATGTATGGATTTAATTCTTAATCGCCACCGACTAGACCCTGTATTATGTATGTGGGGATTTAACCCCTATAGTTATATGCAAATTTGGTTTTTGAAATAGGAGTATGTACGTTAGAATCGTAACAGTTTGTATAATGTAATTTTATATTGGGCAGATGCAATCGATAAAAGCTATAGAGTCTCTTGAGACTGTTTACAGAGAGTTTTGCTCTTCTGTGGGCTGGTATCAGATATAGAACTTGGAATTTATTTTGGAAGTGCTAAAATGGTGAAGTCATTTTTGTATTTCAATTTTGTGTCCCAATTTTTCTTTATTCCAGGCTCTTGAATTTTCATTATTTATTTTTGTCACCTCTGTATTATACTAAAATTGAGACGACAAAATGATTATTCAAAAACATTTAAATTTTTTTCAAATTTATTTTAGAAAACGTTCCTGTGGAATTAGAAATTCCCACAATATTCATTTAAGAATCTAAATGTAATTGAATTTTGGCTCCACAATTCTCTAAACTTTTCATGTAGCTCTACCAGAATTTTAATTCTAGAATTATTAGAAATGAGACTTTACTTCCAAGTTACTTCTCTATAGTTTAATTTCAAGCCAAGAATTGAAATTTTCTGTTCTAATTAGAATTAAATTCTTTGATAGTGAGAAAACACAATTCAATTTCAGCTCTTAAGGAAGCAGGAATAAGATTTTCAAGCTTCTCTAGTTGAATTTTGACTTCATTCTTAAAAATAAGCTTTTCACCATCTTCTAGCTTAAGTTTAATTCTAGAACGATTAGATGAACTAAGAGTTTTTTTTTTTAATAATGTTAATAATTAATAACTATCAAACTATCTTAATCTCTAATAGATTGTGTAGCATTTTCAATTTTACTTATATACAAAAAGGTTTATAGAAAAATATTTAACACTCCATAATCTTTTATTGTTTTACACTTGCAAAATATGTTCCTCGTTTTTAACATCCCTATGCCAATTAAAATGACTCTTTTTGTGTTTTTTCAACCTGCTGGAATCGTAAAATCCTTTCTGACAAATATCGCAATGGTGCGTCGTTTCTCCTGTATGCGTCCTAACGTGCACTCTCATATTTGAACTAAAACTTGCCCTAAAGTCGCTGTTATTGAAAAACTCTATTTTAGCTTACCTGTTTTTGAAAGTTTTCGGACAATAACTGCACTGATAAGGACGATCTTCAGAATGTTGCCCCCTAATGTGGGTATTTAAGTGGGAATGTTGTCTGAATTTTTGGAAGCAAATGTGGCAACTTAAAGGCCTCTCTCCACTATGAGTCTAATAATAAATAAATTAATAATTGAATTGTATTATTAATTGATGAAACTAATTACCAAAACATGCGTTTTCAGTGTACCAATAAATCTGAATTTCTTCTGACAAATATTACAGCTGAAGTTTTTTTCGCCTGTGTGAATTTTTTCGTGGTTTTCTAAAACAGCTTTAGTTGAAAATCCTTTGCCGCAAATATTACAAAGGAAGGCTTTAGGGTCTAAAACAATTATACATTAAAAACACAATTAAATAAATAAATCCTTACTTTCATGTATCATTTTATGCACATTCAAACTTGACTTTGTTTTATAAAAATTGCCACATGTTGGACATTGAAAGTTTGATTCTTCATCCTTGAAACAATAATAATTATGATAATAATTAATACTAATAAAAGACTACATAACTTACCTTTATAGTATGTTGTTCTATTTCTTGTTTATTATGAATATTAGCCATATGTTTATTTAAAAAATATTTATGTTTGAACCCTTTTCCACACAAGGAACATAAAACATTTCTCACAGAATTATGAGCAGTTGTTTCATGCATTAGTCTACTTGAGGGTCTCAAAAAGCCTTAAATAATTATAAGATGTAGCATGTAAGTCATTTTAAATTGAGAAAATTTTGTATACCTTTATGGCAATATCCGCATTTAAATGGTCGATCGTTGCCGTGAATTTTCAAGTGTCTTTGAAGGTTGCTTTTCAATGTAAAAGTGGCATTGCATTCGTGACAACCAAAGGGTTTTTCTTTGGTGTGGCTCCTCAGATGACAATCCATTTTGTATGAGTAAATTAGTTTTTGGCATAATTTGCAGGGTTCTAAAAATAGTTTATTATTTTACACTAGAAGGGTAATAGAGGGGATGTTTTACCTTTTTTTCTTTTGCGTTTATTTGTAGTGGTTTTACCTGAGTTATTATTGTCTTTTGTAGCATTATTTTCTAGTTGTGAAGGTTTGAGATGATTTTTTTCTGTTTCTTCATTGTCTCCTTAAATATTTAAAAAATACCTCATTAGATTTATAATAATTATTATAGGACAAAAAGGTAATGATAAATGACGTCTAACGAGAGGTGTTTCACCCACTGAATTTTATACATCTACTGTATTTGACTGCATTGATTGCATCAAAGATGATAGTTGACTTCATTGACTTTTGAGCAATTTCTAATATGATTTCAGGCTCCACTCGCAGTGACTGCTTACGATTTTTCGCGAGTGTACATGAAATGTACGCTACTGCATGTGACTGCACCTTGGACTATACAGAGTTAAGATTGCAAGTGACTGTATTATGAATACATGCGACTGTATTATGACTTCATCAGTCCATGTATTCCATTGACTGCATGAGAATGTATGGACTGCAGAAGAGTGTCTAGACTGCATATACATGAATGTATGATATTTGTATTTACACCTATGCACGAGTGAAACACCCCTCGCGTCTAACACAATGTTATTAGTCTAACATAGAACTAAAATGATGAAATTTCAATTTTTTTCATGTTGAGATTTAGTGTCTAAATGATCAATAGGGACCCCCTAAACTCCATAAACTAAATCATTCTGAGATTTGAAGCCACAGTCTATGAAAAAAGGCATTCAGAAAATTGATAATGGCAGGGACGAACTAAGGATCTTCGTTGCAGTGCAAAACTTTTGGGTCTGGGGGGTATCCGGGGTATCCGTATCCGTTATCATTTTCTAGTATCTCCGCCAATTCTGGATGAATTGCCTCTTCTAATTACTCTCGGTACATTTCTCCTGTTAAATTTAAAGGTAAAGAAGGGGTCTTACGGTTACCAAAAATGCTAGCCCAAACACTCAATTTCTCGGGATGTTGCGTATGCATTGTTTGCCCAGCGGATCTGAGTCTACGGAAAGAATTCGGACGTAAATGTGCCATGTTGTCACGTTTAATTATAAAAAAGCGAAAATACTAGGCATGAAGTATAGTTCATTTGAAAATCCATTTTTTAATAACAAAATATAGACACCAATAAAACGCTAAAAGTTTCAACGTGGTTGTTAGATCTATTCTTATTCTAATAACTGATTTCTTCAATTTTGTCCATTGTAAAAAATAAACATTTTCTAAAGATACCATCAGTTTTTGACAATTTGGCAAGCCTCCGGCCTGGATGAACCTGATTGGTGGAATTTTTGGCAGGATGGCCGTTGCCATGAGGAACCATGTCGTTGTCAATGGGCTAAACGTCACCTTACGTCTCGCTATTGGCCAAGGCTTCTGTCATTGTATCCTCCCATCTTGGAATATCGATTTATATTGAAATATCCAGTGGCGGGGGTTTGGTCATTTTCGATTTTCGTGTAGGAGTTGCAATACGATAACACTTCCAAAAAATTCCGCACGCAGCTGGGTATCTCATGAAATATGTTTTCTGGGATTTGAATTAGCCCAATAGTGGCAGTTGTGGCGATTCACCGTACCATTCAAGAAAAAAGAGCATTCATCAGAGAAATACACATCGATAATAAACTGCTGCTCCATTTATTGAAAAAAAAAAAATTGGGTTATATTGACATTAGCCTTCAAATTTACTAACTGGTACCTGTTGGTAGATTTCAAATGCTCCTTATTTATTTTATGTCATACCAATACATTATTGTGTTTTTATATCTTAGATACCATCTATATAATTCATTACTTTATGCCCGTATGGGCATAAAGTACACATTACGGCCCGCGCGGACATAAAGACGCAAAAAACAGTTTTCAATTAACTTATTCTTTATTAACAAAATATAAATTTACGCTTATAAACATATTATTTTTGTCAAAAAATTATGATGTTTTCACACTGATGACAATTTGTGAAGTGACACTTTTTTCCCAGGTATTTATTATTCACAACCAACTGGTATGACATAAAAGTTTGTATGCACCACGGGTACTAATAGATATATATACCCTCGGGCGACTTACGAACCCTCGGGCCAGAGGCCCTCGGCTTTGTAAGACTGTCGCCCTTAGAGTATAATCATCTACTTAGTACCCTTGATACATAAATAACTATTATGTCATACCAGTGCATTATTGTCTTTATTTACGATTAATGTATAATGTGCGTATTATATTTGTGATTTTGGCAGTATAATGACATATATTATTCCTCCAGGGATTAATGACGAGTAGCGGCATTAATGGTCATTATTCCACAAAAGTGTCAGTGTCAAACGTGTAGTGCTTGTGGATTTGTATTGAAAATTATGAGACGGATGAAATTTGTTCATTGAAAATCTCAAATAAATTAATTTGTCGTAAATAAAGTAGAGTATACTACTCGCAATAATGGCTATTATTCCCTCGGAATGTTACTCCCTCGCCGCTAACGCGGCTCAGTTCGTAATAATCCTCGGGAATAATAGCTATCATTATTGACTCGTGGTATAATCTACTACCCAGATAACACAATGTGCGTCAATGTGCTCGAAAAGTTCCGGCCGACTTCAGAGAAAATAGCATTTGAATCGTAATGCTTTGGAAGTATGTTAAAAGTGCGTATAATAAAACAAACCAAATCAAAGTAAGCTAGCAACATCGAAGAAATGCTCCTATTTCAACTATTGAATTGAATGATCTGTAAAATGCAGGAAAACCACTGCAAAACTGCATTGTTTTAGTGTGCGAATTAGAGGTACGCGAACAGCACTCCCTAAACACTTTCCAAGGTACTAGAGAGAGTAGAGTCTGTTCTGAGTGCTCTACCTGCGCTGCCTGAGTGCCTGCATTTGGCAGTGATTAATTACAGATTAGAGATACTCCGATCGTGCAGGTGATGCACCATAGAGATGCACCTCCCCACCACACATACCAAAAGTGGAAAGGAAAGGGATAAGAAAACGGCAAGAAGACAAGCTGATGCAAAGCAGCCGAAGCTGCCACCATTGCGCCATTTTTAATTTTTAGAATTTTTCGGCATTTAGTTTTGTTCTTGGGTTCTTGTGCGTGTTTTCAGTATCACTGGCAGAATAATGAAATTTGAAGGGTAAGTAAGTAATTATCTAATATTAATTATGGGTTAATCCAAGCAATTTTGTTCTGCGCTGTATGTGGTGGTTGTAGGTGGTAATAAATAGGTGGTGGGTGTGTTGTGTCTTCACTGTTTTATTAACGGAACTCTGCAAAATCGTGTCAATTTTTTTTCAGGGCCTATTCGACAAGATATTGCAAAATAAGTTCTCTTTATTAGAGCAACCTTTTCCCCTGTAGGTACCCGACGAGGCTGCCAAATTTTAAATCTGTCATTTCGAATTTTAAGAACCAAACAATAGACCTATCTATTTTTACCTGGTATGCGCGCGCAACACGAGGCAATGTCTTTTTATTGGCTAGCTAATACAGGTGTGAGGTAATCGTTTTGCACGCTGGGCATCTCTTTGTCCTTGTTCATTGCACGTGGTCTGACAAGAATAAATCTAATGTTGATATTGAACTTGACAAGTGTCATTCAAAAGTTGTTTGACATTTTCATTGACAAATAAGTTGCACAACACGCGGTTTTTCTCCTTCCCTTTTTATCCCATGCAAATAAGAAGGACAGATTGCTATACGTAAGTCTAACATAATTTGGTACGTTTTGCCTCGTCTTGCGCAATGAGCGTTCTGTGTCTTTTTTTATTTAATGAAGTTTTCGTATGATTACCTCTTTGTCTGGTAAAATAGATAGGTCTATTGCGCAGAACTTTTTTATATGTGCTCACCCTTAATAGGCCTTCCATTGCTCAACTTATTTCCTCATTTGGGCCACCCCCTGTAATTTTATACAGTTTCCAGAAACCTCATAAAACTCATTTTATTTGTTGCCCCCTGTGTAAGAGATTTTAATTTAAACATGATTTCTTTTTTAGGTACTAGAAAAAGCGAAGAAGAATTATTTAGAAAAAATGAATATATTTTATTTTTATTTTTTTTTATTTATGTTTCCTATGTTTATTTATTGAAAGATCATAATTCTAAAATGTTTGTTTTTTATTTGCAATGGCTATCAGAGAAATAAAAAATGTACTCAAAAAATACTTCAATGAAGTACTTTAAGAGTACAATATAAATTTAGCAAAAAAGATGTTCCAGTGGTGCTTTTTCTCTGTCGGAGAAGTGCTTATATGAAGCATTTCACAAATACTTCCAACGCACGTTTGAAGCACTTAGAGCACTCCATGTTGGAAGTGCGCAACTGCAGTACTTCTACGATTGCGCCTTTTTTTTACTGGCCGGCTGGACATCCCAGAAGCGGCTGAGTGGTTTTCACAAGTACTTCTCAGATATGCAAATGTGGAAATATAGTACAATTGAAGTACTTTTCATATAGTTTTGTGTTATCTGGGTAATTTTATACCTTAGATACCATCTACATAATTCATCACTTTAAAGTACACATTCTGGCCCGCGCGGGCATAATGTACCATTCTAAACATCAGGTTGATAATTACGCCGCAAATGACATCGTTTGCATGTACGCAAAGTTGCATCGATTCCAAATAAAGTCCCCCTGGTATGACATAAAAGTTTGTATGCACCACGGGTACTAATAGATATATATACCCTCGGGCAACTTACGAACCCTCGGGCCAGAGGCCCTCGGCTTTGTAAGTCTGTCGCCCTCAGGGCATAATCATTTACTTAGTACCCTTGATACATAAATAACTATTATGTCATACCAATACATTATTGTGTTTTTATACCTTAGATACCATCTACATAATTCATTACTTTATGCCCGTGCGGGCATAAAGTACACATTATGGCCCGCGCGGGCATAAAGACGCAAAAAACAGTTTTCAATTAACTTATTCTTTATTAACAAAATATAAATTTACGTTTGTAAACATATTATTTTTGTCAAAAAATTATGATGTTTTCACACTGATGACAATTTGTGAAGTGACACTTTTTTCCCAGGTATTTATTATTCACAACCAACTGGTATGACATAAAAGTTTGTATGCACCACGGGTACTAATGGATATATGTACAGGGTGTCCCACGGTGGATGGCGTATTAGACGTTTATGGAGAACTAAAAAGCGGATCATTTTGAAAATTTGGCAACCGGGATAAACGACCATGATCTACACTTTAAAAATATTTTTGACCATGCGGTGTTGCCGCTTCTACTCTAAACTAGTGGCAACATCACTATTTTAAATGGAACACCCCGTATTTAATTGCATATTTGGATTCTACGTAAAATTCTGAGCAGATTTCATGTGATATACCCTATACCTAAGTTCAACTGTTTTGGAAATATTGACAGTTGAAAATTGACTTTTTGCAACTTTGACAGGCTGTAAAACCTAATTGGTTAATTTTAGAGGAAAACCGATTTCACATTCCTATCTTAGATTTTGATAAACTATCATTTAACACAGGGTATATCACATGAAATCTGCTTAGAATTTTACGTAGAATCCAAATATGCAATTTAATACGGGGTGTTCCATTTAAAATAGTGATCTTGCCACTAGTTTAGAGTAGAAGCGGCAACACCGCATGGTCAAAAATATTTTTAAAGTGTAGATCATGGTCGTTTATCCCGGTTGCCAAATTTTCAAAATGATCCGCTTTTTAGTTCTCCATAAACGTCTAATACGCCATCCACCGTGGGACACCCTGTATATACCCTCGGGCGACTTACGAACCCTCGGGCCAGAGGCCCTCGGTTTTGTAAGACTGTCGCCCTCGGGGCATAATCATCTACTTAGTACTCTTGATACATTAATAACTATTATGTCATGCCAGTTTATTATTTGAAAATAATAAGTAACCCTATTTCCAGGTATAATACGTGCGAAATAACGTCCTAGGGCATTATGGAGATGTACATTATTTGAGTGTTTGGGCTAGCATTTTTGATGACCGTATAATAAATAGGCCCCTTTTTTACCTATAAAGGACCCCGCAATATTTAAATGGAAATCGGTTACCCGTGATTTTTGGATGAAATTTAAATATGTTATTGGGGATGCCGTAAGCAACATTTTTTACCATGGGTACAATCCTGTATATATGACAGGTAAGGCGTGGTTAGCTGTCAAATATTGGAATCTTATATCCAAAAGCAGAGTAACTATGGCAGATTTTGATGAACAAAATAGTTATTTATGATATAAGTGTTAAAAGTACATTTTTAAGGCACGCATGTGAAAGTTTGCAGAATGAGCGAAGCGAATTCTGCAATTCACATAAGCGCTTTAAAAACACTTTTAACACAAATATCATACAATATTTTTTCTACAAACGGCAATAAAAAGCAATAACCAGTAACAAATTGGATTTTTAAATGAATAATAAATTGGAAGCACCTTTCCTACATAAAATTATTGAGTTTGACATTTGTCAAAAAGTTTAAACAACCAGCACCTTGTTTTACAGGTAATGAAATGTCTTGTCAGTTTCTTGAAAGTCTGTCGTGGTCAGTAATGCTTTTTGCTTAAAATGCAACAAAATACAGAAGAAAAAGGGGTTTGCATCGATCCCTTGAAAAATATAGATGAGGCGGCCAATCGAGCTACCCCAGTTGTTCAAATTTCACCATTAATATCAATGTAAATAACTAAAAATACAAACTTTTTTTGACGTTCGCACTCAAAATTTGATGTTTCATTTTTAACACTAGTGCTATAAAGACTTTATGGCACTAGTGCGATAAAGTAACATTTTTAATGCTTCGGGGGGGTGTTAAAAATTGCATTTTTAACACGTTTGTAGAAAAAATCTATTTCTACTAAGTCGACCAAGTTAAGTAAAAAAATGTCAATCATTTTGACACCTGTCAAAACCCTGTCAAACGGCAGCATTCATCTTTTCCAGTTTTCAATATTTTATGATGTCATTTGACATTTTTAACTTGTATGTAAATTCTGAATTCAAAAATTGAAAAAAAAAAGACAGAACTGTCAGAATGACATCATTGTGGATTTAATTTGTAAGTGTCAAAATGTTTGAGTACTTTAATGATTTCATTATAGTACTGAGTATAATAATGATTTCATTAAAGTACTCAAAAAAATTCGTTTTTTCAGTGTTCCTTATTGAACCCTGGGGAAGTTTTCCCTATATGACCATGGCATGCAATGTGTTAAAACGAGAAAGAACCAGATTAGAGTATTTTTTTCTACTAAAACAAATGACAGGTTTTGACAGTTCTGTCTTTTTTTTTCAATTTTTGAATTCAGAATTTACATACAAACTAAAAATGTCAGATGACGTCATAAAATATTGAAAACTGGGAAAGATGAGTGCTGCCGTTTGGCAGGGTTTTGACAGGTGTCAAAATAGTTGACATTTTTCAACTTAACTTGGTCGACTTAGTAGAAATAAATTTTTTGTTTATCAAAATCTGCCATAGTTACTCTGCTTTTGGATATAAGATTCCAATATTTGACAGCTAACCACGCCTCACCTGTCATGTATACAGGGTTGTGCCCATGGTAAAAAATGTTGCTCACAGCATCCCCAATAACATATTTAAATTTCATCCAAATATCACGGGTAACCAATTTCCATTTAAATATTGCGGGGTCCTTTAACAGGAGAAATGTACCTAGAGCGGTTAGAAGATGCGATTCATCCAGAATTGGTGGAGATACTAGAGAATGATAACAGATGTATACACTAATATTCCAACAAGATTGTGCGTCACCCCACTATGCTGCAGTGGCTCGGCAATATTGAGTGGCCCCCATATTCTCCAGATTTAAGCCCGTTAGATTTTTTCTTCTGGGGTCATTTTCGGCATTTACTTGATTCATTTTGTTTTTGAAGCATTTTTTTAAATACAAAATATTTCAACATGTTTTTGTAACTTTAATTAGCCCCTGTAATGGCTAGGTAGATAGTAGCGATGTAAGACTCGGGGGTTATAATCTACATAAAAATAGTTTCAAAATAAGGTATCACTCGACCCCTCACTCGATTTAAAATTTTGGGGGCCCTTGTCACCCCCCCTAGGGCTTTGCCCCCCAGGGGATGAAAACACTAAACAAATGGTTCCCCCTTAAATCAAAAATCGACGGGTACGAGGGATATTTCTTAAATGTCTTGGGGATCCCAAAATCACCTCTGTTTCGTTTTCAATTGACCACCCTGTATAGATAAATACATTACGCTGTGTCTAGAATCCCGGTACCAGTAACACATTTTTTACCGGTAGTCTTGACGCCGTCACCCATATGACGTACTAGGTACCCGGGATTTAAGCAAATCCCGGTAAAAAATATAGCGGTTTCTGTTTTATCAAAGTCCAAGTTATCCTAACTTTTTATGTTTTTGACTTGTTTTATTGATGTGTGAACATAAAGTGGAGTGTTTTCGTGAGTTTATCAACGTGAAATTACCTATTTTCATGGTTTTTAATGTAGGACAAACATTTAAAAGTTATAAAGAAGTTGAAGAGAATTTGACATGTGAAATGTGCCAGTTTGTGTAAAATACTTGTAAAATTTGGTATTGTTCTGATTGCAAACTTATAAATAAAAAATGAGAGATTTTTATTTTAATTTACATCCTAAACAGTATAGTTACATATTGGCTTGAAGTAAATTAATAAATATTAAATTTGATTATAAACTGCTATATAAAGTGACATCATTTTAAATTTGTTTAAATTCTCATTCTCAATCTGGGATGAGTTGTTCGACATTTCCGGACGCAAATCATTTATATAAGGTATTTCGAACTTAAACGTAACTTTATAGTTTGAAATGTTTCAAAAAAGTGACGAAAACATTAATAAACTAACCTAAAGTACCAATCAGCTGATAAATAAGGATAAAAACAAAATCAAAACACCGGGATTCATTTAAATCCCGGTACAAGTGCGTCATATCGATAACGTCATCAAAACTAGGGGTAAAAAAGGGTAAAAAATGTGTTACCGGTACCGGGATTCTAGACACAGCGAATACATTATACAACAAAAATTAACAAATTTGTAAATTGGGGAATCCCAGCCTTGCAAAGTAAAGTGAGGTTATATGACCAAAGAAAAACAATTTTTACCTTCAAATTGAGAACATTCTTGGTCATTTAACCACTCAGACTCGATGTTATCACATTCTATATTACAAAATTCATTATCTACATCTTGATTAGATTTTGTAGAATGTTTCATTAAATTGTCTGCCAAGATTTTTTCCGATTTCAAAGCATTCTCTTTGAACGAATCAAATTCAATGAGACTATTGAAGCATTTTGCGCACAGTTTTTCAGGAAACTTATCACTGGATTGGAGCTAAGGAAAATCAAGTTAAAGAATTATTTACTGTGTTAATTTATAGTACAAACCTCAAGAGAAACTATATTTTTATAAATATCTAAAATCTTTTTTCCAAGATAAAAATTTTCAAGGGAAAAATAATCTTGGACTTCACATAAACAAGACCTACAGATTTTTGTTATACAGGAAGACAAATTGAACCTGGTTTCACTAATTTCATCTACTAGTGTAGACATTTTCATTAATAATTATAAACAAAAATTTGAAAATTTAAAACATAAATATTCACATTCAACAGCTGATTCTCAATTATTTGTCATAGAGCCATTGCAGAAAAAAAATGCATATTTATCTCTTTCTTATACAAGCTGGTAGAAAAAGACACGAATACACTCACTAACAGTTTTCAAGTGGATATAGTGGCGCCATCTCTTATCATTATCTCAAACGAAACAAAAAAAAGTGCAGTTTTCTGCTTTTAATCTGTTCAAGTTTGTTTTCATTTTGACACTGACAGCCAAACAATGGCCGTACACCCAGATGAGAGGATTAAAATTTTATTGATTCGAAGTGTTTTTCCTGTTTATGTGAAAACTAAAATGTGATTTTCCTCGAAAAGCTCAAAGAAAATGTGGATCCCGACCAAAACGAAGAAATACGGTGTCGGTAAGTTGTTTAAATTTTTGTCAAACTTTCAAGAATATTTGTTTTTTATTTTGCTATTGCAATTATTTAAAAATTCTACTCAATTTTGTTGTGTTTGCTTTTTGTTTAGTCGACAAAATTGTTCCAAGGCAAAGTTCGCAGCTTTTCTAATCATTAAAGCAATCAAAATCAAGGCTGAAATTAATTAATATTATTTTTCTTATATTTATTGCATACTTCTCAAATATTATTAATAATAAATTATAAAAAAAATACAACATAAAAATCCTTTTACAATAATTTATTTTTGAATGAATGTGCCTTTCTTTCAGCACATATGCCCATACAGCACACACCATCCCACTTCCTGTGTTGAGGGTTCTTGTAAAGACAATTTACATTTAAATATTTTAAGCGCTGTTTCCTCTTTGTGAATCTGACTGGAATTACTGATTGGTTTTTATTTGAATTAATTCAAGCAATTAAAGTATGAGGGATTTTTTTTGTTTATTTTTTTTAAATTTAATTTCTGTTTTTTTTTTTTAATTTCTTACTCTTTTCAGTCTAATTTTTTTTTTATTCCAGGCTCTTGAATTATCTTGCTCTTATCTTATTGAAAGAAAAGGTTTCGGTAGTAATTTTTTCATGTTTTCTATTTCTCATTTTTTCAGTTTAAAATTTTTTTTTTTATTCCAGGCTCTTGAATTTTCTTGCTCCAATATTCTACAGAGAGGTTTAAGTAGTAATTGTTTTCTTTTTTTAATTCCTAATTTTTTGTCCATTTCTAATTTTTCCAGTGTATTTTTTTTTCTTATTCCAGGCTCTTGAACTATGCCACTTTAATATTTCAAGGACAGACTTTAGTAGTAATTTTTTTCTTTTGTAAATTTCTGATTCTTTTTCCATTTCTCATTTTTTTAATCTAATTGTTTTCTTATTCCAGGCCTTTGAATTATCTTACTCTAATCTTGGAGAGGTTTCAGTACTTAGTAATTTTTTTCTATTTTAAATTTCCGATTTTTTCTCCATTTCTCATTTTTTCATTCTGAGTTTCAATTCAATCTAAGTAATATTTTTCTCATTCCAGGCTCTTGAATTTTTTCTCAAAATTTTCCTATAAATAAAAAAATATAAATCTCATACTTATTGAGGTTGGAATAATAGTTATATATGACCGGTGTGAAGTTAGCAGCCTTTCTGCAGCAGCCAAAAATGTGAAGTTAGCAGCCATTTGTAGCAGCCAAAATTGTAAAATTAGCAGCCATTTTTTGGCAGCTCTTTTTTTTTTAAATGGTTCATTTACAAATTTTGTGTACATTATTATTATATACCCTCGGGCAAAGTACAACAGAAAAACAAAACAAAAAACTACCCCTAATAAAACATCAAGTAGAACATTAATATCTACAAAACAACTTTTCTAAAATAAAATATAACACCCTGAAATTTAGAATAGTCTTTAACATAGCCCTCAAGTACGTCTAGTTCGAAGAACAACCCCTCATTGCCGTCAGGCTGGGATCAACCCTTATTATTAAAATAATTGGAAAAGCTCATTTCGGGAGAGTGTAACACCATCAAACTCAGTGGGACGATCATCAGAACCATTTCTAACATTCCCACCAAAGGACAACCCCTTACCTGCCGTCGGAGTGTGTTGAAAACTACCCTTAGTAAGAAAATGATAGAAAACATTTTTTTTCTATTATTTTCATGCTAAGGGTAGTTTTTAAGACACTCCGACGGCAGGTAAGGGGTTGTCCTTTGGTGGGAATGTTCGAAATGGTTCTAGTTATCGTCCCAATCAAGTTTCAGAGCGTTACAGTTTCTCGAAATGTGTTTTTCCAATTTTTTTCTATTATTTTCGTACTAAGGGTAGTTTTTAACACACTCTGACGGCAGGTAAGGGGTTGTCCTTTGGTGGGAATGTTCGAAATGGTTCTAGTTATCGTCCCAATCAAGTTTCAGAGCGTTACAGTTTCTCGAAATGTGTTTTTCCAATTTTTTTCTATTATTTTCGTACCAAGGGTAGTTTTTAACACACTCTGACGGCAGGTAAGGGGTTTGTCCTTTGGTGGGAATGTTCGAAATGGTTCTAGTTATCGTCCCAATCAAGTTTCAGAGCGTTACAGTTTCTCGAAATGTGTTTTTCCAATTTTTTTCTATTATTTTCGTACTAAGGGTAGTTTTTAACACACTCTGACGGCAGGTAAGGGGTTGTCCTTTGGTGGGAATGTTCGAAATGGTTCTAGTTATCGTCCCAATCAAGTTTCAGAGCGTTACAGTTTCTCGAAATGTGTTTTTCCAATTTTTTTCTATTATTTTCGTACTAAGGGTAGTTTTTAACACACTCTGACGGCAGGTAAGGGGTTGTCCTTTGGTGGGAATGTTCGAAATGGTTCTAGTTATCGTCCCAATCAAGTTTCAGAGCGTTACAGTTTCTCGAAATGTGTTTTTCCAATTTTTTTCTATTATTTTCGTACTAAGGGTAGTTTTTAACACACTCTGACGGCAGGTAAGGGGTTGTCCTTTGGTGGGAATGTTCGAAATGGTTCTAGTTATCGTCCCAATCAAGTTTCAGAGCGTTACAGTTTCTCGAAATGTGTTTTTCCAATTTTTTTCTATTATTTTCGTACCAAGGGTAGTTTTTAACACACTCTGACGGCAGGTAAGGGGTTGTCCTTTGGTGGGAATGTTCGAAATGGTTCTAGTTATCGTCCCAATCAAGTTTCAGAGCGTTACAGTTTCTCGAAATGTGTTTTTCCAATTTTTTTCTATTATTTTCGTACTAAGGGTAGTTTTTAACACACTCTGACGGCAGGTAAGGGGTTGTCCTTTGGTGGGAATGTTCGAAATGGTTCTAGTTATCGTCCCAATCAAGTTTCAGAGCGTTACAGTTTCTCGAAATGTGTTTTTCCAATTTTTTTCTATTATTTTCGTACTAAGGGTAGTTTTTAAGACACTCCGACGGCAGGTAAGGGGTTGTCCTTTGGTGGGAATGTTCGAAATGGTTCTAGTTATCGTCCCAATCAAGTTTCAGAGCGTTACAGTTTCTCGAAATGTGTTTTTTCCAATTTTTTTCTATTATTTTCGTACTAAGGGTAGTTTTTAACACACTCTGACGGCAGGTAAGGGGTTGTCCTTTGGTGGGAATGTTCGAAATGGTTCTAGTTATCGTCCCAATCAAGTTTCAGAGCGTTACAGTTTCTCGAAATGTGTTTTTCCAATTTTTTTCTATTATTTTCGTACTAAGGGTAGTTTTTAACACACTCTGACGGCAGGTAAGGGGTTGTCCTTTGGTGGGAATGTTCGAAATGGTTCTAGTTATCGTCCCAATCAAGTTTCAGAGCGTTACAGTTTCTCGAAATGTGTTTTTCCAATTTTTTTCTATTATTTTCGTACTAAGGGTAGTTTTTAAGACACTCCGACGGCAGGTAAGGGGTTGTCCTTTGGTGGGAATCTTCGAAATGGTTCTAGTTATCGTCCCAATCAAGTTTCAGAGCGTTACAGTTTCTCGAAATGTGTTTTTCCAATTTTTTTCTATTATTTTCGTACTAAGGGTAGTTTTTAACACACTCTGACGGCAGGTAAGGGGTTGTCCTTTGGTGGGAATGTTCGAAATGGTTCTAGTTATCGTCCCAATCAAGTTTCAGAGCGTTACAGTTTCTCGAAATGTGTTTTTCCAATTTTTTTCTATTATTTTCGTACTAAGGGTAGTTTTTAACACACTCTGACGGCAGGTAAGGGGTTGTCCTTTGGTGGGAATGTTCGAAATGGTTCTAGTTATCGTCCCAATCAAGTTTCAGAGCGTTACAGTTTCTCGAAATGTGTTTTTCCAATTTTTTTCTATTATTTTCGTACTAAGGGTAGTTTTTAAGACACTCCGACGGCAGGTAAGGGGTTGTCCTTTGGTGGGAATCTTCGAAATGGTTCTAGTTATCGTCCCAATCAAGTTTCAGAGCGTTACAGTTTCTCGAAATGTGTTTTTCCAATTTTTTTCTATTATTTTCGTACTAAGGGTAGTTTTTAACACACTCTGACGGCAGGTAAGGGGTTGTCCTTTGGTGGGAATGTTCGAAATGGTTCTGATGATCGTTTCACTGAGTTTGATGGTGTTACATTTTTCCGAAATGTGCTTTTCCAATTATTTTAATAATAAGGGTTGATCCCAGCCTGACGGCAATAAGGGGTTGTTCTTCGAATTAGACGTACTTGAGGGCTATGTTAAAGACTATTCTAAATTTCATGGTGTCACATTTTATTTTAAAAAAGTTGTTTTGTAGATATTAATGTTCTACTTGATGTTTTATTAGGGGTAGTTTTTTGTTTTGTTTTTCTGTTGTGCTTTGCCCGAGGGTATATAATAATAATGTACACAAAGTTTGTAAATCAACCATTTAAAAAAAAAGAGCTGCCAAAAAATGGCTGCTAACTTCACAATTTTGGCTGCTACAAATGGCTGCTAACTTCACATTTTTGGCTGCTGCAAAAAGGCTGCTAACTTCACACCGGTTTATATATGTATCAAGGGAATTATGAGGGTTTTGTTGCCCGTGAGTATTAACACCTGATAATTCCCGTGGTACCTACATAGATAATTTTATATCCTACTGGATTTACTGTATTTTATCTATTTTTATAAAGGAATAAACGATAAACCAACATTTTTATTTTTGTCAAAGTTTTACCTATTCAAGGTGAAAGCAGGAGTTATGGAAATCCTTAACTCCCTTGGGAGTTATGAGATCCTTAAATCCCGCGCGGGAGTTAAGACCCTGTTTATGATTATCGTAACCCAGGTATTACCTATATGATTATAATAATTCAGTAGGATATAAAAAATATTAACAGTTCCAATGCAACTGCAATAGTTTTGCAGTACTTAAAGAAACCAATGGGTAACCCCTGAATTTGTGCAAGCAATTCTTCAAACTACCTGCAAATTCCTCCAAATTCCCCACGAATTCTGTGCAAATTCCTCCAAAATGCCTGCAAATGCCTGTTACAAATTCCAAAAAAAT